TTTTTAAGGAGGGGATTTTTAGGGGAGGTCCCAAAGGAGGATCTCAATAGAAGATTCGTCAGCTTTCCAGGCGTGTCCTTTCAGGGTTGTGGTCTCCACTGATTGGTCAGCACCAGGACTCCTTTGAACCCCTTGGAGGGGGTTAACTGCTTTCTTCTTCTTGCTGACCTATTGTGACCTGTCCTCTCGTCTCCTGTCCTTGTATGGAAGTAAGATGGGGCTTTTCTCCAGCTCCCTTGTTTTTTGCTAAGGGGGCAGGGTGTCCTACTACATGACTACTACATGCCAGGGGAGAAAGGTCAGGGGGAGAATCTGACCTGCATGACCAGAGCCGATCTAGGGAAGGAAAGGTTGCCTCAGGGCCAAGGTCCTAATGTACAATACTTTTTTGTAATACATGCTCTCCCAGTTCTGCTTACTGCCAGGTATCCATTGCTAGCTACCCAGGACTTTCTGCCTTGGTGACATTCTGGACCTGGCCTGTTGTCTTGCTCTGCTCATGTCTATCAGTCTACCATAGCCCTGTATGGATCAGGTTCTTGGTCTCATGCAGCAGAACCAATTAAGTAAGAAAAGAGAGAGGGAGAGGGGAGGGAGAGATCCTGTTGCAAAATGTTAAAAGCCTGAACAAAGGCACAGAGAGATGAAATGGGCTGCCCAAATCACAGTTAGTAAGTGTTGTAAGTGGTTTTTGGACACAAGGGTCTGTTTGTAAGTTCACACTGATTCTGGAGATGTGGGAACTCAGGCCCTGAACCAAGAAGGTTCTTGGCTTCACACAAGAAAGAATTCAAGAGCAAGCCTTGGAGTGATGTGAGGTAGCAAGTTTATTGAGCAAAGAGGACAAGCAAGAAAAGCCACTCTACAGACAGAGTTGTATAGTGTCTCCTCACCAGTAGAGTAAGAGAGAGGGAGAGACCCTAACCTTCTCTAGAGGTTGAGCTTATATCTGTTTGTAGTTTCTATGAAAAATTACTAGTATGAGGAGAAAGTGGAAATAAATGTTGGGTTTAACTTTTAAAAGGTATATTCTGTGGTCTATTTTATGGTATGAGTAAATGTTTGTGGTATGAGCAAGCTATTGATAGTAATACTTTGTTTTCTAAGTTCCTTGTGATTTCATGACTTAACCGAGTTTCTATCTGAAAACATGTAGCAGGCTGTAGCATGGCTTTACTTTGGTCTGTTTGTTTGGTTCTCATGCCCCTTCCCTATATTAGCACTCTGTGAGAACAGTGTATGAGACATGTCACTTTGCAGCACAGTTGGACAAGCTAGGGCCCTACTCAACTCTCCAGAGCGAGGATGCTCTTCCTCTGCCTAGGGACACCTCACGGTCTGAGTGAGGGAGCCATTGAAGCTATAGAATAAGAAATTTATTATAGGGCTAGACTTGGCCCAATCTGGCAGAGCTGGTGGCAAAGGCTATGCAAACTGTTCTGAGTCTAGTATTGAGCTGGAGTCACTAGAAGTCAGTTGGGTGGCAGTTGTGAAGGAGAATGAATGTGGATAAGAGCAAGAGCAAACTGGAAGTGTGTCTGTGTATCATGACATTTACCCTTGAAGCCATGGGAATCATGAGCCTATAGGGAAAGCACAGAGCAGCACACATAGGTACCCCATACTTGGACAGGCAGAAGGCAGCTCTGGCTGAAGCTGTGGGAGCTGCAGGTCCATGAGCCAGCAGTTCAAGTGCGCACAGGCTGCTGTGCTGATGCCCTGTATCCACCATCAGAACATAAAACACGACTGCTGTTTCACCTTTGCTTCTGAATCTCATGCAATGTTGTGTGACCAACGCCAGTGTTGAACTAGCTGGGGAAGGACATCTTGTGAAAGGTAGTTTCAGCTTAGCAACATGGACACAATACAAAGCTACCACATCTGCCTTATGAGTGTCAAGGGCGACAGAATGCATCCCTCATTGACCAAAAATGCCCGAGGTTTGCTTTCTTGTTCACCTTGCAGCTTTCACATCTGCCCTGGGACACACATCAGATGTGTGTCGGGTTTTGATTCTGGAGCCACATGGCAGCAATGACAGTGGTGCATTCTTCCCGTTGACTTGTCCAGTCTCCATGAGGCAGTGGAGTCGTGCATCCAAGGGGAACCCAGGACCATGGTGCTGGGTTTGAATGGGTGGGGTCTGTGACTTGGGCAAGTCATCTAATCTCCCTGGGCTTGTTTCCCCATCTTGAAAATAGACCAATGTCTTAACATATCATTATGTGGTAGAATAAGAATTGCATAAACTGTCTCAGGTTTGAAACATCATGGATTTTCTCAATTTAGTCCGTCAGAGTTCAGTCCTTGCTTGGAGGAGGCGTGATGTTTTCCCACCAAAAGTACATAAAGTGTTTCACTGGGTGGGGTGAAGTGTTCGCTGTCTGTCCTATGTACTTGATCTTTCTTGTTAGGTTGGTTCTCTTCCGGTGACACGAATAGGTAAATGGAGAATCTTGCCCCTCCAAAAGGCAAGAAACATTTTCTTCTGAGCCACCAGCTCTAAGATGCTTGCTATCAGCTTCCCTCCCTTGTTCCTTTACTGTGACAGCTATTTTGCTTAGGACTATGCCTATCAACATGCAGATTTGCCAGTTGGAGACGTAGTTTCACTTGGGTGATGCACACCAAAATCTTGTTTACAGTGTCAAGTCTTTTGCTTCGCTTAGCAAGTGAACATTAGTGTTCATCAACCCACAGGGACAATCCTCTGCCAAGTGAAGCCCCTGTCCTGTGCTGCAGATGCCGGCGATTCCTGAGCCCCAGATGGGACCTCAAGGGGGCAGCTTGTCTCATCAAACTCAGTCCAGAATCTGGCTCCTTCAGTCAAAATGTTTTAGAAGGGAAAGACACAGGAGACTTTAAAGTAAGAGCTTTATTTATGACTGAAGATGTAAAGGCATTCATAAAATGCCAAGGAAAATGATTTCCTGTTCATTTAAAAAAATCTGAGCATTTCTGGAGCCTGAACTTTTACCATGTACCAGGAAAGAATGCCTCTCTTGAACCGAATCTTTCACACTAAGTTTTCTGTTTTCTCGGCATCCGAGTTTGGCCCATTGGGCCTTATACTTAGAGTCTTGTTCACTTGAGTCGTTGGGCTACTTATGCTGGCCACAGCTCTACCCCAGTGCTCCCTCAGGTAGAGGAATGCAAAGGGCACAGCTACTAGAGCCCGTTAGTGTTCTGTTTTCTTTAAATGATGACAGCCAGGAAACGAGCAAATGGTAGCAATAGGGAATCAGCAAATTAAAGCCTTAAATCTAAGGCAGACAATTCCATTTTCCTCAACTGAAATAGTGGGTTGAATAATGCTTTTATAAATGATTATGTTTTGTGTACACAGCACATAATGCTTAAGTAATTTTATTATATTTATTATATATATAAGTATACAAACAGCTTTAGGGGAACTCTCCAGACTATTTCTCCAAATGATTGATATAACAAAAAAGAGCGAGGGGCACAAACTAATAGCCCTTAGAATTCCAAAAGGATGGAAAGACATTTCTTTTCATAAAATCTTGGTGGAGATGAACCCCAGGGTGATCTGTCCTCAGTAAGGAGCCGATTTTCTCTGTACCTATACTGACCACAAGCAGGTCACCAAGAGCTGATTGTATCCTAGGGCTTCTGATAGCAGCAGCAGCTCCGTAGTCACTGAAGGTGTTGTACACAGCACAGCTTAGTGAGGTGGATCCATGATAGTGTATGTTTTGGAACATATCCATTGGAAGTACTTATTGAATCAGAAATTCATGAAACTAGAGGCCACTACAACATAAGGGAGAAGACTGTCCCTATACAAAGGGTTCACAATCTTAACTGGCCCTTTAAGATAGCAAATAGTGTTAGAACATTGTAGATAAACAACTTAAAAAAAATGTAGTACAATATATAATTATTGAAGTCTTTTCTTTTACTTAAATAAGAGTTTCAGAAAACCCAGGGATAGATTTTATATCACAAAATGGTCCATATCGTCCAAAAATGTCTTTTGATTGGACAGTAAAATAGTATTTGTTGGAAGCTAAGAACTGAGATAAAGTACAGGCCATTGGGAGTGGTAAAGCTTTAATTTCTCCAATTTTCTTCCAAATTAACTTATTACTAGGGTTCTCATGGCACAGGAAGAGGTGGTAGCTTTCCACAGGAGCACACTTGGGATTGATTTTGGTGATGTTCCAAGTCAGGGCAATGCCCCTGGGTCTCAGCACCCGTTTCACTTTGAGCTCGGGCTTCTGAGGAGGAAGTGTGTCTCGAACTTTGTCTGTCAGTTCAGGCAGTGGTGGTGGTGGAGCTGGGAGAGGTGGCAGATGCTCAAAGGACTCAAGAACCTGAAACAAATTTATAAAAGTTTAGTGAGCTGAACTTGTGAGTTCTAGTTATTTTCAAGTGGTCAACTGCAGTTTTACAGCATGTTATTTCCCATTCCTAAATCCATTTATCAAAATCATAAGAACAAAAGGGTGCTTCAACAATAGTAAGGCCGGGTCCAGTCTTTGCAAGCTTAAGCTTCTTTTGGAGTTAAGATTTCTACACTCTGGAATATCACACTAACCCAGGATGGGTTAGGTCCTAGACATTCTGAATAATATTCCATCTCATTTCCAAATTGTGTTCCCAATCAGTGTGCTAATTTACTTGAAAACTGTGAGTGTACAAGAACACCCATTTCCCTCCAGTGTCATAAAAAATGGCTATTATTCTTAAAAATCTTATTTGAGTAAAAATTGTATTTGTTTTAATGCTATAGCTTCTAGAAAATTCAATTAATTTATTTTAATTGTGTATGTAGACTCACAATAGCACATTTAAAAAAGCACATTAAAGTGCTTTTTACATTAAAATGTGACACAAATATTTCTTCATGAGTAAAATGGGAACTTCCATTCCCACTCAGTTTGGAATGACTGTCACTTAGAGAGCATTTCGTATCAGTACCTGGGCTGCATTTTGTGCCACTGGGGTTGTCTCTCTTGAGATGGAAACAGATTTCATAGATGACTCCAGCATGGATACGGAATTTTCTGTGAATAATATGAGGTTTAAGAAGTTAAATTTATCTGCAACAATCAATCCCTTAGCCTTTAAGCAAAGAAGAGTTTACACTGTGGTGGTAATTAAATGTGAACTAAATGTGAAGACAAACTTTTGATAAAAGTTCAAGATCCAAAGTTACCAAATATAGAGAACTTCCCTTGAATGTGACAAAATTCCCCACTTAAGGTAAGTTAAGTCATTATGTAACTGGGAACTGGAAACATTACAGATGGGAAAGGGCTCCCTGCTCAGTGGTCTTAGAAGTTGACTTTTCTCTGTTAGGTCAACAAGGATGTTTGCAAACACAGAGCTCTTTACAATCCTGTTTGAATATGTGATATACACAGTCCTGGGAAAATTGTGCAGGCTGGGGTTGAAGGAATCTCTATTGCTGAGGTCTGTGTTAGCCTAGAGGGTATTAGTTAGATAGGAATCGTGGACTTCAGAAAGGGAAGGGGAAGGAGGAGAGACAGAAGGGAGAGTGGAAGAAAAGAGACGGTGACAGAGAAAGAGGGTTTAGTAGATTCAAGAATGGTTTGAAAACCATTGGGGAGAACCCTGGCCAGTTTGGTTCAGCGGTTAGAGCATCGGCCTGCAGTCCACAGAGACCCAGGTTTGGTTCCCGCTAAGAGCATGTATCTTGGTTGCAGTTTGTCCCTGGCCCTGGTTGGTCGTGCGGGTGGCAACCACTCGATGTGTCCCTTTCACGTCGATGTTTCACTCTCTCTCTTCCTCTCTCTCCCTCCTACTTTATCTGAACTAAAAATGAAAAAATGTCCTCGGGTGAGGATAAAAAAAAAGAAAACCACTGGGGAGAGTATATTTGGGGATGATAAGAAAAGGGGCTTGCTATCAACAAATCATCAAACAACAAGTGTTGGCGAGGGTGTGGAGAAAAGGGGACTCTAGTACACTGCTGGTAGGAATGCAGACTGGTGCAGCCACTATGGAAAAATTGAACTTCCATTCGACCCAGTGATCCCACTTCAAGGAATATACCCTAAGAAGCCTGAAACACCAATCAGAAAGAATATATGTATCCCCATGTTTGTAGCAGCACTATTTACAATAGCAAAGATCTGGAAACAGCCCAAGTGTCCATCAGTAGACGAATGGATAAAAAAGCAGTGGTACATATACACAATGGAGTACTACGCAGCTGTAAGAAAGAAAGATCTCTTATCCTTTGAGACGACATGGAGGGACCTGGAAAGTATCATCCTAAATGAAACAAGCCAAACAGAGAAAGACAAGTATCATATGATCTCACTTATTTGTGGAATATAATGAACACAACAGTCTGAGGAATGGGGTAGTCCCAGAGACATGGAAGTAGGGTACAGACTGACAACCCCCAGAAGAGAGGGTGGTGGGGGAGAGATAAACCACAGAACTTATATGCATGTATGCGTGAACAATGGACATAGACAACAAAGCTGGGGACAGGGCAGGGAGGAAGGCGGAGGGGAGAATCAGTGGGGGAAAAAGGAGAAATATCTGTAACAAAAATTAATTAATGAAAAAAAAAACCTGAATCAGTAAAAAGAAAAAAAAAAAAAGAAGGGGCTTCATGTTGGAAAGTGTAGGGATGGGTTGGACATTAACTTCCAAACATTTCAGAAATTTGAACATATCTAATAAGCAGTAAAGACCATTTTAGATCCATTTGTTTGTGCAATGATATAACTGTTTAGCATACTTGATGAATCTCCCCAAATGAAATATTTTATTTGTATTTTTCTTTTGATGGACAAGGATAATTAAGAGTCTGCACTGTGTTTCAAATTTAATGTATTAGTCACTTTATTTACTGGTGCTAAAAAAAAAACCTTTTTAGAAGAGGTAATGACTTTACAATTATAATTGTAAGTGTCTGTACAACCTTAATAAATTGTTTAGTAAATTAGAGCTAGATTTGTGAAATCATAATCTGTAGTTTCATACAAAAAAATTCTAACAAATGCGACTTTCTGTAACTAACATTCCTTCTTTCAATAGTCTGTAGAAATGAAGCCAGAAAGTTTTAAGGGTGTAAGTCATTAAGAATTTGTATATCTTATTAAGAAGTTTAGATTTTATCCTAAAGATAAAAACACAACTAGATTTGTATGTAATAAATAATATTTTAGTGGCAGCTTGAAAGATTCATTAAAAGCAGTAAGGGCAGAAATATTAGTTTCTAAGTATAGTAATACACCAGGCTAAAGGTGATGGAATTCTGAAATAAGGAAGTATATGAACCAGATCTGTTAGCTTTTCAGGAGATAGTACTGATGGGCTTGCCAACTGAGTGAGGAGAATGGAATGAGGCAGATCTAAGAGTCAAAAGTGACTCTTTCACTTCAGTCTTGAGAAACTGGGTGACCTGGTAATAACATTCACCAAGCTGGGGATATGGGATATGGTCCAAGTTTGACCCGACTCTTAGTCAGAACTGGACATTTTAAAAGACAGACTTGAGTTGGCATCATGAATCAGCATGATATAGCTTTCCAATTGCTAGATTTCAAACTGAAGTCCCCAAATAAGAGGTATGACTTGTTTTGTTAAGCACTAAATTAATCTGCATTCCTACTTTTTATTTTACTGTATCTCAAATCCTATATTATGTAATTTAGAAACAACTTAGTATCTTATTAAAAAGTAACTGATTACTTCACAGACTCCAATTCATTTTTCAAATCTTCATCTTGAAACTGGAAATTGAAGGGTTTTAAAATTTTCTCATGAGGTACCTGGAGATTCGACTGGTTTCAATTTTTGTTGGATCCACAATTGAAAGGGAAGAAACTGGACTATATACTTCCTATACTAATCTCCATTATTAAATATTACATAATTTATTAATGCTAATAAGTGGAATTCAAATATTTCATCAAAAAGTACCATAAACAGTCCGGCTGGTGTGGCTCAGTGGTTGAGCATTGATCCATGCACCAAGAGGTCGCCAGTTTAATTCCCGGTCAGGGCATGTGCCCAGGTTGTGGGCCTGATCCCCAGTGTGGGGCATGTAGAAGGCGGCCAGTCAGTATTCTCTCTCATCGATGTTTCTATCTCTTTCTCCTTCTCCCTTCCTCTCTAAAAATCAATAAAGAAGAAAGAAACACAGAAAGAACCCCCAGGCCCTGGCCGGTTTTGCTCAGTGGTTAGAGCATCAGCCTGTGGTCCAGAGAGACCTGGGTTCGGTTCCCGCAAAGGGCATGTACCTTGGTTGCAGTTTGTCCCTGGCCCTGGATGGGTCGTGCGGGTGGCGACCACTCGATGTGTCTGTCCCTTTCATGTCGATGTTTCTCTCTCTCCCCCCCCCACTCCCACTCTATCTGAACAAAAAGTGGAAAAATGTCCTCGGGTGAAGATAAACAAAACAAAACAAAACAAAACAAAACAAAACAAAACAAAACCCCAGAATCTAGCTGTCTACTGACAAGGGCCTCTTAAATACGGGAAGAACCACACGCTTAACTCTGTTACCTCACACTATGCCCTGCATGTTTATGCTGCTGCCTGAGTCAATCACTGCAGAGATGTTCTTTATTCTGTAATTGTCATGTTATCATCCAACCAATAGATTGACCTACCCCGACCAATCAGAACTGTACAAAATGTACCCTTATTTGAATTTATACTGACCAATTCAAACTGTACAATTTGGAAACCTCATTTACATGAAGCAGGCTAAAATAAAAACTATGGATGGGAAGTTTTCCATAAAAAAACAACCTCTCCTTTGTCTTAGGAGAGCACTTTGGGTTTCTACCTAAGGCCTTGTCTTCCCAGTTTTGTGTTATTTGAATAAAGTCTCTCCTTTTTTGCTCCTTTGCTTTTTGTTGGATTTGTTTACATGCTCTAGCATCCTCTCACAACTGCTATTGTTAAAGTTAATGAAATAAAAATGTGTGCCATAGGTAGAAAAGAGATTCTTAATAGCCCCAAACAACTCAGATATATTTCAATTAGTGAACAGATAAACTGTACATAAATTATTATTATACATCCACACCATGAAATACTACTCAGCAATAAAAAGTAATGCTACTAATACACCCACAACTTAGGTGACCCTCATGGAGAATCATGCTAACTGAAAGAAGCCAATCTCACAAGGATACATATTGCATCATCACATTTATATAACACCCATGAAATAACCTAATTATAAAGGTAGAAACAGATTCACAGTTGTTCCGGTTTAGGGACTGGGGGCAGGAAGTAGGTGTGCCTATAAAATAGTGAGCATGAAAAAAATCTTGTAGTGATAGAATAGCTGTGTAATTTGATTGTGGTGGCAGTGACATGAATCTATACATGTGATAAAAGTATGTAGAGCTAAATAAACACACACAGACACAAATAAACTTCACAGGTCAAACACATTTTGAGTTGTTACCCTTCCCTTCTTTTTTAAAAAGAAAACTTAATCCTTTACCTGTGTTGCAGTTTGATAGGTTTTCTTTTGTCAGATCAATCACAGAATGAAGATTCTTTTTCTCTATAGCCTAAAAAGTTAGGTTAGAAAAATTAAGATTTTTGCCTCAATAGCAGAAAAATGTTTTTTAAAAATAAAACTTATCATTTTAAATTACCATACAGAAACTAGAGGCTGATCATTCTATAAGTTTTTATGGTTTAATTTAACTCTCCTGTAAAAAGGAAACTTAAGAGGCCATGGCCGGTTTGGCTCAGCGGTTAAAGTGTCAGCCTGAGAACCAAAGGGCCTTGGGTTTGATTCCTGGTCAAGTGCGTGTACCTCGGTTGTAGGTTTGATTTCTGACCCTGGTTGGGTTCATGCAGGAGGCATCCAATCAATGTGTGTCTCTCACATCGATGTTTCTCTCTCTTGTCCCCTTAAAAAAAAAAAACTTAAAATACTGTATAGTTTCTGAGAATATCACTAGGCAGAGTCCAAATAAGTTAATTTATTAAGTATGATGTAAAATATGTTTATCATTAGCTGTTTGCTTTTTAATGTAAGCTATACTGGAACCTGGTTATGTTGTCAGACAATTTCTCAGAAAACAAATCTCCCAAAGAATGAATAACAAGAACCTGGTTATGTTAACGTGTCAGACGATTTCTCAGAAAACAAATCTCCCAAAGAATGAGTAACAAAGCTGAATCATCCACATGTAGCAACACTAAAGTTCCCAGAACTAACATATTCAAATAAACAACATTCAAAGACAATATTTATTACCTACCATAACTTCAGTATCAGCATTAGGTAAATTATTAGTATTTCTTGATGCAATTTTTCCAGTATCTGAAACAAAATTATTAAAATATGAACATTTGACAAGTTTATTAAACTATTAAATATTTATGGACTTTATAATGTATGAATGCTGAAACACAATAATAGAATGCTATTTATCCATTTATTATACAATCATAAAAGTAACTCAGTTGACTTTACTTATTCTGAAAACTAAAGAGAAACTTAAAAAAGAAATCTAATTTTGGTTCAAAAGATTTTGTCCTTCTGTAATTTTACAACTATATTAGTAACTCTTGAAAACCTATTTGTAAATAGCATTTGAGGAAATAAACTTGGAAATGTACACAGTTTTTATTCAGTATCTTTAGACTGTCTGAGATGGCTTAGCATTCTTCACAGAACCAGTAGGAGAAAGCTTCAGAGATCCCTTGAACTATTTTATTCACAATCTTAACAATCAGAGGGGCAATTAAGTAGCTATATACACGTGGAGGCAAAGATTTCTGAAGTTAAGATGTAAATATTCTAGGCACTCAAACACTCTTCCCCATCCACCCCCCTTCTTTCTGTCCCCAAAACAAAATAAAAACAAAAAAAAGATGCAAACAATCTAATATATCATAAAAAATGAAAAGGGAGAATTTTGAATGAGTAATTATGTGCCAACAAGAGAGCTTTTTTCAGAGGAAATTAATTGGAAATTGAAAGTGTAATAAGTATACATAAGTATAATAAGACAAACTCTAAATAGCAACAACTGTAGTATAAAAACACTGAAAATTAAAAAAATAAAATAAAAGATACTAAAGAAGAGCCAAATTTTGCCCTGGCTGGGGTAACTCTGTTGGTTAGACCATTGTCCCGATACACCGAGGTTGCAGGTTCGATCTGCACATATAAGAATCAACCAATGAATGCATAAATAGTGGAACAATAAATTGATGTTTCTCTTTCTCTCCCTTCCTCTCTCTCTCTCAAATCAATTAAAAAGAGAAAAAAGAATAGCCAAACTTTAAATCTAAAGTCGACTTTAAGATAACTTAATAGATAAAACAAAAAAACAAACAACCAGCCCTTGCCAGGTAGCTCAGTTAGTTAGAGCGTCATCCCAATGTGCCAAGGTTGTGGGTTGGATTCCCAGGTCAGGACACATACAGAAAGTAACCAATGAATGCATAACAAATAAGGGGAACAATAAATCGCTGTCTCTCTTTCCCTTCCTCGCTCTTTAAAACCAATAAAATAAAATAACTACCATAAAAACCCATGTAGTTTTATAACTTACAAAGCCATTAAACAGTAAATACACAAAGGGCCACAAATTAATAAACACAAGGTTAAAAAGAAACTTCAATTATATTGAGAGGTCATTTATTTATTTAGGTAATATAAATCAAATATAAATTAAAACATTTTTGAGAGAATTTTATTTTATTAAAAGATATTCAGTTATCTAAACAAATACTGATTTGAAGCTTTCTAATTTAATAGATCATATTTTAATCAACTTAAGATACCTGTTAGATTTGCTGTAATTGGTGTTGTCAAACTAGGGCTTTCCACAGAAATCAACATAACATCATTGCTACTAAAATGATAAAAAAAATTAAAAATGAACTAAACATGTATTATTAGGCTTAAACATGCAATCAATGGTTAGAATTCTTCTGACTTAACATTTCACACCAGACATATTTTAATCTAATAACTGTGCATATGTTGGGGAGGGAATGAAAGTGATAAAACCAAATATCCAAGAAACTCCATATATTACCAATTAATTATATGACCAAAAGTCATGGACATCCAATACTAATGGACCCTTAAAACTCAGTAGAGATCTACTTATAGTGAATCCAAATACATTATCTATAAGTATACAACATACATAAGTGTGCAAAATATAAAGTCACTCTATCACTTATACTTGCCTTCATGAAAATGAAACATATAAATGAAAAAAACCCATTAAGACACATTGACTCTTACAGATATAGGATTATAACACAGCTATTAAAAATTAATTCTGCAACTACATTCTATCACTATAATAGCAATATTTACCACACATTTACTAAACTGAGGCATTGGTGGTAAATAATGCTGATTATAATTACAGAATATCCTGAGTAGATTGTCTTCTGCTCCCATTTGACCCTGATACCAATTTTATGAAAAAAAATCAGAAAATCTTGACACAAATTTCACTAAGTCCATAAAATTGCTAGGTGAATTTTCTATACCATTGTCTTATAGATGTTTTAAATTTTTAGCTTTTGTATTTAGATCTATAATCCATTGCAAGCTACTTTTGCATATGGTGTGAGGGAAGAGTAGAGGTTCACTTTACTCCCCTGGTTATTTCAACATTTGCTGAAAAGACTATCTTTTCACCATTAAATTATTTTGGCATCTTTGTTGAGAACCAATGGGCTATATGTATACTTTCTAAGTATAGGTCTATCCATTTATGCCAACACCACTTAATGTCTTAATTACTACAGCTTCAAAGTAAGCCTTGAACTCGGGTAGTTTATGTCTTCTAACTTTATTTTTCTCTTATAACACTGTTTTCATTTTTTAGGTGTTTTCCATTTCATGTAAGTTTTCAATTAGCTTGTTACTTTCTACAAAAAATACTGCCAGGATTTTGATTGAGGAGAATGCATTAAATGTACAGAATAATTTGTGTGAAGTGACAGTAATGATTTTCTGATTTGTGAATATGGTATTTCTCACTGTATATTGAGGTCTCCTTAATTTCTCAGCAATATTTGCACTTTTAAAAAATTAATAAACCTTTTAAAAGCAGTTTTAGGTTTATAGCAAAACTGAGTGGAAAGTACAGAGAACTCCCTTATACTCTGCTCCCCACCCTCGCCCACTATCAAAATCCTGTACCAAAGTAGTATGCTTGTTACAACTGATGAACCTATACTGACACATCATCACCCAAAGTCCACAGTTTATAATAAGGTTCACTCTTAATGTTGTACATTCTATGGGTTTTGACAAATGTATAATGACATGTACCCACCATTTATAGTATACAGAGTAGTTTCTCTGACCTAAAAATCCCATGCTCTGCCTATTCATCCCTCTCCAGTAACCCCTGGCAACATTTGATCTTTTTGTTATCTCCATAGTTTTGTCTTTTCTAGAATGTCATATGTTGGAAGCATACAGTATGTACCTTTCTCAGATTGGCTTCTTTCCCTTAGTAATATGCATTTAAGTTTCCTCCATGTCTTTTCAAAGCTTGATAGCTCATTTGTGTTTTCTTCTTCTTTATTTTAGCACTCTTAATATTCCACTGTCATAATGTACTACCGATTATTTATCCATTCACCTACTTGAAAGACATCTTGGTTGCTTCCAAGTTTTGGCAATTATGAGTAAACCTGCATTTTATTATTCCATTTTCTCTCCTTTCTTAGCATATCAATTGTACTTCTTTTTTTAGTGGTTGCCCTAGAGTTTGCAATACACATTTACAACTAATTCAATATATATAACATTCTACTTTCATATATAACATTCTACTACTTCAGAAACAGACCTTTAGTAATGTGGTGGTTAAGATGTAGGGGGAGAGGAAGCATTCTACAAGTCCTATAATTGGGTTTCAGTCTCTTAGTGAGTCTGTGCCCCTGGAATGTGAACTTCACTAGTGCTTCTCAGTACCCTCCCCCTCCTCACTCCTTAGGTGAGATAGTTTGGCCAGAAAGGGTTAGAGGTGGGTATTTTCCTTCCTCCACACCGAAGATTACAGGGAGCAGGAGTTGGGTATTTCCCTAACCCTAGATAGGTCAAACTCTGATAATAGTTTCTCCTGAAGGCAGGCAGTGGGTGTTAAGAGAGAGCGCTGGGTGGAGTATTTCAAAAGGTTTTTTACTTTCCCCCTGCTGGAAACATGAGGGAATTTTTCTCCAATGTTCACCTTGAAGACCTGGTAGAGCTTCTGGAGGTAAAACTCACAAAACTATGGGGGTTCCCCTATAACTGTCCTCCCACTCCCAGAGTTTTAGATTTTCGTAGCTCCACACTAGTTCTCGTGGAGGTTTCTGCTCTTGAGTTTGTTCCAATTCCAGTAGGTTGTGATTCTCAGTTTCTGCCTGTTTCTCTCTCCAATTTGGGTGGCAGTGGTTTGCTCTGTGACCCTACTTCTCTGATGGATCTAAGAAGAGTTGTTGATATTTTCCGATTGTTCAGCTTTTCCATTGTTGTTAGAATAGAGTGATGACTCCTTACATGCTGGATCAGAAATCTGAAGCCTACTTTGTAGTTTTGAAATTAGGTCTTACAGATATTTTGGCAATTTTATCCTATGTTAATCATTCTTTGATTATTATTGTAAATGGTATTGATTTTAAATATTAAATTCCAACTTCTTGTTGCCTGTACATAAAAATACTATAGAGAAATAGTATATGTTATTGGTTTTATACAGACACACCACATATTATAAAGGTAGTATAATATATACCCAAACATGTACCCTATATATAAATGGAAAATTTTATATTTATCCATATGTATTTAATTTCCAGCACTTTTCATTACTTTACCTTTGCATAGATCTAAATTTCCATCTGGTATTATTTTCCTTCTGCCTGAAGAACTTCCTTTAACATTTCTTGTAGTGCACAATTTTTTTTTAGTGTGAAAAATCCATTTTTCCTCTACACATCTGAAACATATTTTCACCAAGTGTAGAAACTTGAATAGTTTTTCTTTCAATGTTTTAGAGATGTCTTTCCATTTCAATACTTTTCAGATGTCTTTTAGTTTGCATAGTTACAACTACAGTGAGAAGTCTCCTGATCTTATTTCTTCTGTTCCTTTTTATATAATGTGTCTTTTCTCTCTGGCTGCTTTTAAGATTTTCTTGTTACCACTGACTTTCAGCAATCTAATTATGATGTGGTTTTTCTTTATTCTTCTGTTGCTTAAGTTCGTTAATTTTCTTTTTTACATATTTATGGGTTTAGAATTTTCACCAAATTGGGAAAAATTTTAGAAATTATATTTCTCTGATCCCCTCACCCCTGACTAGAGATACTTCAATGATATAGATATTAGACTGCTTGATAGTGTTTCATAGGTCTTTGATGCTACGTTCATATTTTTGTTAGCCTTTTCTTTCATGTTTTTTTTGAAGTTTCTATTGCCACTTCACTGATTTAAAAAATCAGTAATTATCTATTCTATTAGTCTTATCTAATGTACTTTTCACTTTTATTGTATTTTTCATCTCTGGAAGTTCAATTTGGGTCCTTTTTTTAAAAAAATATCTCTTATTTCTCTCATCATGTTTACATTTTTCACTATATTGGACACAAAGAACATACTGATAATATGTTTTGTGGTGTTGTCTGCTAAGTCCATCAACCATATTATTTCTATGTTTGCTTTAATCATTTGTTTGCTCCTTTTTATGTTTGCTACTTTGCATGCCTGTTAATTTTTTTATTAGATGTCAAATGTAAAATTTATACTGTTGGATGATATTTCATCCCTTCAAATAATGTTGGACCTTGTTTTCCGATGAATTATTGAGGATTCGTTTGATTCCTTTTTTTTTGGTAGGTGCACTGCAGTCCTGAGTCCAGGACTAATTTAGCCCCACATAGCTATATCCATCTAAGGACTCTACCTGCTGTTTCATGATTATAAGTCTCTTCATTATAGCCAAAGGAAGAGCAAATGTCTGACCCCTGTAAAACTGCCAAGAAATGTTTGGCTTTCTTTTTTTCAATGCTTCTTTCTCCACCTCTTATAATTTCATACTTGGTTGGCATTCATGGGTGGTTATGTCTTAAGAACCAGAATGAACAAGAAGTAGATGGAGCATTTTCAAAATGAGAACAAGCCTCAATTTATAATCCCCGAAGTAGATTAGATGATCAAGTTTTGCTCTATCTGCATATAAGAAGATGGTATGATTCAGAGCCTCACCAATTTTTCAGAAATTATCAAGTATTTCAACAGACAGTCAAATGATCAGAAAATGACAGGACACCACCAGAAACAGATGATCCATATACTGGAGTTAAAACAATGGCATTAAACTATGATTAATAGTTTTAAGAATATTGAGGAGAGATAGAGAATACAGGTAAAACAAATAGAATATTCATCAGAAAAGAAGAATCTATGAAAAAGACTACACTGACATTAAGAAGAGTCAATTTATATAAAGACACTGTTACGAAAGCAGGAAGATTTGGGGTGGGAACAGATATTTACAGTAAATATATCTGACAAAAAATGGGAAAAGAAAGGCAACTCAAAAGAAAAACATGCAAAAGTGTTAGAAAAACTTTATAAAAGAAGATGTCCAAATGGCTAACAAACTTAAAAATGTGCTTACCTTCATTATTTGAAGGAATTACAAATTATGTGATACCAATGTGATGCTACGATCATAGCAGTATGGCTAAAATAAACAGGCAGATAATACCAAGTACTGACAAAAATATGGAGTAACAAAAATCTTACGTACTTTCAGTGGGAGAGTAACATGGAATTTCTTTGGTAAAGTGGTTTGGCAGTATTTATTAAACCTGAAAATGCACATACCCAATG